CCCACGCCCTCCGCACACTTAGTCACACCCCACGCAGCGCAGACCCATCAGACAGACCACTAACATCACACTGTCCATACGCCACACGCTCACATACCAGCTGCACCAGGCCACGCCACCTATGCCGCGCCACACCCCAAAGCGCCACACACCCACAGGCCACACGCTACGTGTACACACCACGCACACACGCTGCCCGAGCCACACGCAATCCGAACATCACATGACGCCTCAGAGCTCACTCGCCGCTCCCCGCCTCGCCGACCAGTTGCAGGCGCTCTATCCTCTCTGCTCCGGAATTGCCATATTGCCTCCTCGTTGCAACCTTCTTTATGCAGAACCAGGCCAGATTTACCATTCAAGATTCCACTCAACACCGACGCAGCTCAGTGACGTCCTCTCTACCTTGGCGGGAGCAACCTGCTGCTAATTCACACTGCCCCCAGCCAGCCGCTCCCGCATGTTTCCGTGACCACACCAGTGCTTCAGCACCTTCAGTGAACTAGTCAGACACTCGATACTGAAAGTGTCTAGCATGTACCAGACATTGGAAGACCTCTGTATTCCCACTGCGTGACACTGGGCCAGAGAAAGAGCAGGCAATCAGAAAGTGTTTGCTGAGTGAATAAATGAATGAAAAAACTACAAGTAATATCACACCCTCAAGAAAACCTCCTTTACAGCCAGGCATGGAGGCACACGCCCTTAAATCCCAGCACTTAGGAGGCAGAGGCAGGTGGATCTCCGTGAGTTTGAGGCCAGCCTTGTCTATAAAGTAAGTTCCAGGACAGTCAGGGCAGTTATACAGATTAACCATGCCTTAAAAAAAAGAAAAATGAGAGACAGAGAGAAAGAGAAAGAGAGAGAGAACCTCCTCTGCTGTTCTTTTTATTCCATTTGTGATCTAAAAAGTCAAGTGAGGGTAGAAAATAGGACACCCATCCTATGGGAACCCAAAGCCATAAAACCCACAGAACCAACATCTTTACCAACGTCCAGCCATTCTCGTTTCAAGCATTCCTACTTCAGATAATCCTGAAGTCCATGTTATTTAATTATAGGTAAGCAACAAGCCTTCTTTTTGACATTAACTTACTATAAACATCCATAATATGTCCCCCAAAAATGTGTGCAATTTGTGAGTTCAAAGCCTTTATGGGCCGGGCAAGGTGGCACGTGCCTGTAATCCCAGAACTTGGGGAGGCAGAGGCAGAAGGATCACTGTCAGCTTGAGGCAAGCCTGGTCTACAAAGCAAGTCCAGGACAGCTAAGAGTACACAGAGAAACCATTTCTCAAAAAAAAAAAAAAAAAAAAAAAAAAAAAAAAAGGATTATCTTGTAGATGTGGATTTATCATGTGCTTTCCACCAACAAACACAATTAAAGTACAAATGACAAACAGCCATGAGCAATACCAGAAACCATTGATACTGTTGCTATAAAGAAAGACCAGCAAAGAATCAATGTGCACCTGGACCAGCTCACACCGGGCTCTTATGTATGGGTCATGGGGGTCTGGAAACAAGCTGTTACTTACAGAAGGGACATGACCACGCTCCTTGACTAAGTCTGGGGTGAAGAGAGAGGCAAAACAGTCACACAAACACACAGGAAGTGCTTACAAGGAGAAAAGGTTTGTTTTGGCTCATTGCGTTGGAGGTTTTAGTCCCCACACAGTGGGTCTTGTTGTTTGGGGTCTGTGGTAGCGCATCACGGCAAAGCAAAAGCACTCAGCTCAAGGTCAGCAAGCCAAGTGGAAGAGCCGAGGCCCCACCACCCTCTCTCTGAAGGCCCCTTTTAGGGGTTCCACTGCCTTGCGGTATTTTGAAGCTGGAAATTAAGCCTTTAACACATAGACCTTCGGGACACTCCACAACAAAGCCATAGTAGAAACTGAGTCAAACGCTTCCTTTGGGTCTCTGATGGCCATGGACCAAAGGCCAAGAGGAAAGCAGTGACTCACTAAATTCTTCACCAGGCTAGAATGAGAACTTAGTGCTGAGGCGCATCCCACAGATCTTCAATGAGCCATGTTCACTGCGCAGCCCATTCAAAGTCAGTTGCATGGCAATGGGTTTCTTTATCAGAACGAAATAAAGTGTCAGATGCGAATTCGAGTCTCCAAGAACTAAAAGAAATGTGTGTATATTTTATTTGTTGATTACAAAATAAACAGCAAGGATGACTGGGGTGTGGGAAATGTAAGCCACTCGATGAATGAGCCACTCTTCACAGCCTACTTTCTGAGGCACACTAGAACAACTTGCAGGTTAATCACCTTGGGTGTAAACACTCCCCGTGGATACTGAACACCATCTTGTCTTAAAGAACATTTCCTTAGAAGCACCTTTCGCTATTTTGCTGCTGTCACCTGCAGACAGCAGTTACTGGTTTATGTTATTATGCAGGGATGGATATAGACTCAGTTAAGGGTGTCCACCTTAGCAGTCCCATGATTAGGGCTTTTGATCCAATTCTTGAGTCTAGAGTTAGAGTTTTTCTATCTTTCCTACATGCCATCTGGAGCCACTTTCCACTGGTGGCTTTAGAACCTTTACACCTCTTCTAAATATGTGACTATGTGGATTAGTGTTTAAAAAGTTTTAGGGGTCGTATGCACCTGGGGATATGACTCAGTCTGACAGACAGAGTGCTTACCTCACACACACAAGGCCCTGAGTTCAAGACCCAGTGCCACATTAGCCACTGTGATGACACTTCCTCTGGTCCTAGCTCTCAGGTAGAGCAGAAGTTTAAGGTGCCTACAAAGCAAGTTTGAGGCCAGGCTGTGCGACATGAGGTCCTGCATTAGAGAGAGAGGATTGTATCTAGGAAAACAGTGTGTTCCAAGAAAGCCAAGCTTTCTGTGTACTTTATACCATCTTCTCTACCAGCTAAGCAGATCATTTTGCCCCCTTCCTGGTCCTTGGCTAAATTCCAGATGAGCAGAGGAGTGCAACAGGTTCGGTATGACACATCTGTACACTTTCTAGGTTCTCCATCCTCCGGTGGTAAACCATCACATCACCTCCCTCAACAACTTGGCTACACAGCAAAATAAGTGCAAAAGGTTTCCATGTAGGAAAAATATTTAGATTGAAAGCTTAACCCATAAACTGGAAAATGGTTCCTGTCATATGTAATGGTTTCATATTTTATATTCCTATATCATTTAGCAGCACAAATTGGTAGGTGTTTCACGTAAATAAGTATTTTTAAGTTTAAGAGAGAAAAATTATCAAATGTGCCTCAAAAACAGACATAATTTTAATTTTTTGTTTGTTAAATTATAAGACGCTTAAATGAAGCCACTTCTATCATACATTAATTGCTTTGTTACTGATTTGACAGCTACTGTATTGAAAAAAAAGAAACAGTTTCCACTATTCAAAGAGAAGAAACGCTGCCCCAACATCTGAGTGGCATAAAGACAGATTACTGTTAGTTCAGCCAGTCCCTGGGCTTCCTGAAGGCAAGCACTGGACATGAGCGACTGCACTTAGACTCTGTGCATCCTACAAAAGGAAAAGTTTACATAACCCTGCTTGTCAAATCCAAGAAGGCCAGTTTAAGCAGGTGAAAAGCTAGGCTTTGACATTAAGGGCAGATGCAAGGCGAGCAGACCATCAGTTACCCAAGCCATGCTTCTACACCAGAGGAAGGAGGCGGCCTTCGGCTATTTATAAATGTGGCACTCAGGCTTCAACAAGGGGGCCCAGCCACTGTGCCCTTCTGAGTAGCTGGTCTGGCTGCCAGGCTGGAGCTCGGTGGAGTCCCCTCAGAATGACTCTCCATACTTGGCAGTGAGGATTTTTGGGATGCAGTCAGGAAAAGGCCTGAAGGATTTCTAGCTCCACTTCCACCCTGTGATTCTATATAAGGAAACCTCATTCTAGTGCTTTCAGCATCATAAGCGCTGTATCAGCCTGGAGGAATGAGGAAGCCACAGGCGCTCCTCTGCTGCCCTCAAGGCTCACTCACTTCAGCAGCCTCCAATCCCCACTGCCCTGGACTGGACCTTGTCAACAAACGGCAACGCAGCCCCGGGGAGCAGATCACTGCTAACACCGAACAGCTGGAAGAGGACCCTGCCTTCTTGGCTCTGCATAAACACTGGGGGCTCTGTTCACTCTCCTGCAGCAGCAAGAACCAACACATTCCCCTGCCCCCCCATCTCCGTGGCCAGACTTTCCCACCCCCCCCCCCCCCCCCCCGGCTCCAGCCTCCCCTTACTCGAGATATAATTCGAGTCTGTCACCACCCATAACGGCAGATGGCAAACCGCTGGACCTTCCGACTGTATTTACTTTCTGTAGTAGTAGCTGTGTCTGTAAATACTAAAAGGTTACTAAGAAACAATTCTGTTCTGTTCCTTACAGTTTCCTGAGGAAAGCCCCACGCCGTGGAGCCCAATCCACGCCTGCTCTTCCCACAAGATCCCTTACCGGTGCGGATGACGTCCTGACCAGTGAATGTAGCCTCAGCACGGCCACGCTGCAAATGTCATTTGACAGCTTATAGCGTCACCTACGTACTGTCGGGAGACGAATCTCTCAACCAGCGCTATCCGCGGGGGTTAGGGGAAACGAATAATAAAATTGCATTTTCAGGTGTTCTTACAGCCTGTCTGAGCTCGGCCCCTGGAGGGGGCAGTCCCGAGCTTCCTGGGTTCCTGCTGAAGGCCGGCGAGCCACGTTACCCGAAAGAAGCGGGAGGTAGAGGGGGTGGCAGAAAATCCAGACTCTACGTGACCTGACTTACTTATTTCCAAGGAAGGCGCAGGAGAGAGAAATCAACCTTTCGTGCTACCTACCGTAGCTACCGCACGGAAAGGACTAAGGAGTTCATGATGGGGGAAGCCCCACAGCGGACGGGACTGGGGGTGGGGGGGCGGGGGTCCGGGCAGAGGCTTGGAGCCCGGGCGGTGAGGACCGGGCCGCGCGGCGGAGGCCCGGGGGCGGGGCCGGCGGAGGCGGGGAGCGCGGAGCCCGCGCACTTACCCGGGCTGTTGGCCTCTCCCTCCAGGACGTGCAGCTCGGCGCAGTCGGCCAGCGAGTGCTCCAGGCAGAGCTGCAGGAAGCGGGCCTGGGTCTGGCTCACGCGCTTGAGCAGCGACAGCAGCGCCACGGTCTGCTCGCACTCGTTCCAGCCCTTAAACCAGCCCGCCAGCACCCCGACCTGGTCGCGAAACATCATGGTGCGGGGCCGCCTCTGCCTCCGGGGCCCCGCGGCGCCGCCGCCCGCCCCGAAGTTCGGCCTCCCGGCGCCGGCCGCTGCCAAGGTCTCCGGCGCCCGGGCGCTGCGGGTCCCGCCTCGCTCTCCTCGCTCGCTCTCCTCGCTCTCTCGGTTCAGTTAGGTCCGGCAGGCTCTGCCCCACTCCCCGGGGACGAGGACAGACAGCGGCGCGGAGGGGTTCCCTTTGTAGAAAGCGGCGAGCAGAAACGTAAATCCCCCCGGGGCGCGAACCGGGCGCAGACCGCTGCGTCCCCTTCCCTCGCGGCTCCAGGCTGGTGGCTTCCGGCGTCTCGGGGTCTCCTCCGCGCCGGGCGGCCGCTCGGACCCCTCACACCCGCCTTCCCCGGCGGCAGTCAGTGCTGGAAGGACAGAGAGAGCCGCAGTGAGGGCTCGGCCCGCGGAGGAGGGCGCCGGGGGGCCGGGCCGGGGTGTCCCGCGGGGCGGAGGCCCCTCGCTGGGCCGCGCGCTCGCCGGGCGCCGTGCCCCGCCGGGTGCGGGAGGAGCGCCGCGGCTTCCTGTTGCTGCGGCGCTGACCCGCGGGTGCTCCCGCGCCCCGCCCGGCCTGGCCTCCGGGGCCGCGTCGGCGACAGCCGGCTCCGGCAGCAGAGCCTCCCGCGCCCCAAACTTGCACTGCGGCTGCGGGGGGCGCGGGGCGGGGCGGGGGCTCGGCGCAGCGAGGCGGTGGCAGAGGCGGCCGGGGCTCCGGCCGCCGCCTCCTCCCCCTCCTCCCCCGCCTCCTCCCCGAGAAGCAGCGGCGCGGCTGCAGCTCCATCTACCGCGAAGCAGCCGCCCCACTGCCAGGCTCCCCTCTCGATTTAGGCCCTGAGCAGCCGCAGCGGCAGCTCGAGACAAAAATAAACTCTCGCTAGCCGAGCTCGGCGCG